GTATCTAAAATGAATAAATATTTCTCCGCATCTAATATAATTCCACTGGGACGATTAAGTGTGATTGTTGGATTTAGTGATGTACTTCCAGCTACTGTCATACCATCTGAGTCTCCCGACTGGAACAACTGAACTCGATTATTTTCATAATCTGCGACATATAAATTCCAATTCACATCCACAAAGATTCCACGAGGACCTCCGAGTTGATCTGAGGCTATTCCTTTAATACCTGTTCCAGCTGTAACACGATTTGAAGTCATCACAGGATCATTTAATGATCTTTTCAATATTTGATGTTGCTGAAACATTGAACAGTAAAGAGTATCATTTATATCGACAAACAAACCAGAACATGATGAATTGACATTCATCACCGTGACAAAGGTACTTGTTTCTACACTCCATTTCTGTACTCTACCATTCTTCTCACCATCATCAATATAAATATCACCGTTCGATGTAACGAAGAGAGAATTGGGTGATGTAAAATTACCCGAAATGATCTTTGTTGGATTGATACTCTCTTCTTGCCATATTATAACTGTGTTATTTTCTCGATTAGCGACATAGATTGTGTTGTTTGTATTCACAAAAATAGCGCGAGGATCTTGACCAGCAGTCGATACATTAGCAAAAGTAATTCCATTGAAATTCCAAGTGGCTGATGAACAAAACTTTGGTTGATTGAATGAAAGAGCTAAAAACAAGGAAAATAGAAAGAATATTAGAGAAGAACTGTAAACGAAATCAAATAGTTAATTTATGTTTTTTCTTTAAAAAATTCATTGAGATTAATTTTGAAAACGTTTCTATGATTTTATTGTATTTTTTCAGATGAAATGCAAATATGACCTAAGAGAGGGCTGACTTCATCGAAGAAGATCAACTTTATTTATTGATTTGTTTTGTTGTTAAAGAAAAATAATGATGTTCGATCCTTGAAAAGATATGATTATCAGTGTAGATAAAAAAATAATCAAATAGCTTTTTTCATTTGTCAAACGATAATGAATTCGAAGGAAGAAAAAAGAATTGTTTAGAATGAAAATGAGTTTATTAAAATTGATTGATATTTAAACACAATGTCTTTGAAATTCAAAATGAATTCTCATTTTCATATGAAAAACATTGTGAATTTATTCATGTTAAATCATTTGCATTGAATCTAGGGCGTGGGTGTGGATGAGAGTGTGAGTGAGACCGTGGGTGGGGAATGTGAGTGAGAGTGTGAGTGAGTGTAAGTGAGACTGTGGGGTGGGTGTGGGTGTGGGTGTGGGTGGGTGAGAGTGTGAGTAAGAGTGAAAAGGATAGTACCCACACCCACACCCACACCCACACCCTTATCCACACGCACAACCATCCTCACACCCGAGCCCTGATCGAGCCCGAGTCTGAGAGTCTCGGTCAGGACTCGGGCTCGGTACATCCCTAGATAGTATACATTCTGAAAATAATTTTAGACATAAAATCAAGAGTTTCACTATGATTATTATTATGAAATAATATCCCATATCTAAAAACAGTCGCTCAATCTATTTTTTTGTTTTTTAAAAGTACGGACTTAAAGATTTTTCCAATGTGACACACATATAACTCATATTTCATCACTGATAGTTATGGCAACATGTCATAATTTTAACGTAGTTTTATAATAAAATGAGTCTCTGTGGAGAGGCGCGTTCTCTGTATGAGTTAGACTGGAGTCTAGAAGAGGTGAGAACCATCATTTTTGAATATATAATAGAAATTCCTGTCAAATTCTATAAGCTATTGTTTCACTCCCTTTTATTCGACTAAAACTCTAACAAATAGTATCGTTTATGCAATGACTAATCTTTTAAATGTGATAAAAAAAATTATTTACCTGATGTTCCATTGTTGAGAATGAACATAAGAATAATGATGAAAATGTAGATATTCCACATCATTCAATAAGATTTGTTTTGATAAATTAGTTAACTGTTGAAATAATCTTCTTTTTCTTTATCTTCGATGAAAACAAAATGACACTCGTTGTAGATTTTCTCTCTAGTTATATATCTCTCTTTCTCTCCTTTTCTCTCATTCATTTCTTCCAAAATAACACAAAGTAAAGAAATAGTGTGCTAGAGAAGATTTTATCGCCGGTAAGATAAAATATTGATTTTAAATTGAATTAATGAACAAAACTGATGATTTTATTTGATATTTTTCATTGAATTTCATTATTTTCGAAATTCAAAAACACAGAATGGAATTTAATTTTGACGTGATCCTTTTCTTTTTTTTAATTTTATATAAAAATCTATGATTTTAGTGAAGAAGAACGGGATGAAGAGAAAGAAGAATCAATCAATATCGATGTCAATCAATCATCAGTGTATTTTTAATAAAAATATGATATTAAAAATCATCGTCAATAAATGATTGACGTCAATAAATAAATCACGATCAGTTTGATATATTTTTATTTGAACCTGTCAAATAATTTGCATTGTCAGGACTCAATTTTAATAACGTTTTTTGTTTCTCTATACGCAATAAGTGTCTACGAGAAGGGATTCCTTCTTTGAATATTTCCATCTGTTCTAGAATAAAAACTCATGAGATATATAAAAACCAGGATTGTTCATCACAATACAATATATTTTTCTAAGAGACATGAAAAAGATTCATGAATTCAATTCGAAATTCAATTTATGCAAAAGCAAAACTCTGAAAATGTATATTTCGTGCAATCAATTCGACAGCAACGAGTTGTTAATCATGATGTACGTCTCCGATTGAAATTGATAATTGAGGATGAGGATGAAGATAATTACATTTTCCACATCTTTACTCACGTGCACATAGTCACAACCTTCGTTATATACAAATTTGAAAAATATTTATCTTATAAAATAATTGAAAATCAGCAAAGTTTTATTTTTCAATGAATTTATTACTATGTTAAGACGCTTTATTTTGTTTTATCACAAAAGTCAAAATATATAACAAATATTAGCATACACACACAAAATATATATTATAAAACGAGTTAGAAAAATTAGACATTTGGTTGCTATTGGACTAATTATCATCAGAAGGTTTTCGTTATTTTTCATTTATTTTTTTTTCATTTGCTAAATCTTTTAATTCATTACAAAAAAATTTCCCAACGCGTGTCGGCGCACACGGTCAGATTCTGCACCCCTACACATGATCTTATTTTTATATTACGAGAAAGAAATTGATTCAAATATAAGTTTTGAAAAGTTCAAAAATATTTCAATGTTTGATTTGTTGAAAATAATTCTTTTATTTACGCAGAATGTTTCATATATAATCTTGATATTATTCAAAAAATCTTTATAAAATTAATCGGTTAAAACGCGGTCATTGTTTCTGGTTGATACTAACCTCTGTCGTAGAAATATTGAGGAAATAAAATTGAAAAGTTGACTAAGACTCTACTTTAATTTAATTTCAAGTATACTTTGTATATTACGAAATTTCTTGCTTCATAATATATTCATTTCTTTATTAATTGTAATATGAGAAGAACAAGAATAAATTCGACACGCTTAAATGATCTTGTTCATAAATATGTTTTTTCTCTCTCTTAAGTATCGAATCAACTTTGACTTACATCCATATAATATACGAATTCATCTGACCTCTAGACCGAACGAGATTGTTTAAATTATTTCGAAGTTTTGGATCAATAAAAATATCAATGATATAGTCGTCTATTACTCTATTAATTATTATGAAGTTATTATTTCCTACTGGAATCGTTCATAAGAAATTGATACAAATATATTATTTAATAATTTATTGATCTACATGAAGACGCGAGTACGAATAATAATCATACTCGTCAACGATATTCTTTTTAATGTAGAACATATATATTACATTCTCAACAGATGAAGCGTAGTATAGTGTATAGAAAAATACCTAACTCGTGATTCATTGTAATATCCTTAGTGCACATGTTTGATATATTGTTTGTATGTTATGCATGATCGATAATTACCTTTAATATTATTTTGCACGGATTTATTATATTTTTCTTTTAGATATTTATCGAGAAAAACCTAAAATGGCAAATAGTTCTAATAACGATAATCGTTGGTTTCAAATTCTTCAACCACGTCCATTAGCTAAATATCAAGTATTTATATTTCCTGGAGCTGGTAGTCCAGGTATTTCTTCGAACAATTTTTAGATTTTATTAATATTTTTTTTGTGAAAAAAAAAATTCAGGTCCATACTACAAAGATTGGGGAGAAAATTTTCCTGACTATGAATTTGCATTACTTATCTATCCTGGAAGAAGAACAAGATTAGCTGAAAAATGTATAACAAGTGTACCGGATTATATTACTCATATGAAAAGAGAACTTCTTCCATCTATAACTAAACCATGTATATTCATTGGACATAGGTATACAATTCTAATAACATACTCTCTATTTTGCGTATATATTTTCTTTTAGTGGTGGAACTATGAGTAGTTTTGCATTAGCTAGAAATATGATTGAAACAGGAACGAAAGCAGATTTAATTAAATTGTTAATTGAAATGGCGAGAGTACCACCTCATTTAGAAGGTTAGTATTAATTACTAAAAACAAATTCTGTTTGTTTTTTTGAAAATACTTAATTTTAGATCCTGAAAATTTTTATATAAAGACTGATAAAGAACTTATTGATATTTTAAAACAATCGGCAGGTATTATAGTTCATTTTTATTTCATTAAATATATATTCTCAAAATAAAATAATAGATCCTAAAGTGAAAGATCTATTTAATTTGAAACCATTTGTTGACATGCAACTATCAATATTGAGAGCTGATGCAAAGGTATGAGCTGAATGAAAATTCTAAATATTTTTTCTTGTTATTTCAGACTGGGAACACAATATTACAATCAAATCCAATAAATATTCCAATTATTGTTTATGGAGGAGACAAAGAAGAAAAACGTACAGAAGAAGTTTTGAATAGGTAAAAGAAATTGTGTTAAATAAAAATAATTTTATTTAATTTATCTAGATGGAGTGAATTAACAACAAAGAAAGAATTATTTCGTGTTCGAATGTTTCCTGGACATCATTATTTTTTTTCAGAATGTCAAAATCAAGTTTTAGAAGCTTTAAAAGAAGATTTCGATTCAGTTTTAAATAATTCAGAATCTAATTAGTAATGAAATAAATAAATTCGGCTCTGAAAAAGATACTGATGTATAAAAGATTCTTTGATCGTGCTACCGATGGAGATTAAAAGTACAAGTCAAATTGATGATATACATCATAATATAGAACGAAAAAGAAAAATAAAGATTGAATGAATTTGACAATAAAATAGATTTCCAATTAAGCTCTTATCTCACAAATTACTATTATAGATCTGACACTGATGGCATCATGTGAATGTAACATAATTATATACATCGAATCATCCTTTTTTATATTTGCAACTTTTAACAATGAAAAATAATTAGAGATTTTTTTTGTCATATAAGAAATCACTACAACTGTCATTGTAAATAAATATGAATAACAATCTTTCTTCAACATCATCGAACGATTCTTTTTAATTATGAGAAAGCCAGCTAAATATCAGATGAATAAACAACATGCAGAACAATAGATTTTAATCTAATCAACTTTTGACTATAAAATACAATGATACAAACTATTTTAGAATAATCTTGAGTATATTTCTGATAATACAAGATAAGAACGACGTAGATATGCCACCTCTTCCAAAAGTTTTAGTAACTAAAGTAAAAAAGCATCGACGTCATTCAATTACACATCATTCTAAGGTATTTATTAGTTTGCTTTTCTTTCATGTGATCATATTATTGTTTTACTAGAAAGGAAGAGTTTCGAATGTAGTTCGAGTCACACGAATCAAATCACGTTTGGATGGATCATTTAGAACAAATCGACAAAGTGTTCCAAGTGTGAGCAAAATTAACATTGCAATAGCTGATGTGAATATAAAACAAGGAGTCACGAATGATGTTAATCAATCTCATATTTTACATTCAACAACAAATCGAAACTCACTGAAGTCTGTGACTGACTCCGCAGTCCCATTAATATCTTCAGTAGCTCGTCAATCCACCCTACCAAATAGATTTTCATCGAAGGTGAAACATGCGAAAATACATTTCAAAGATCTAATCAAGTGTAATTATTTTTATTTTGATAGGTGGTACCATCGAGCAATTATGATCCATTACGATCAACTATCCATTCCAATCTTAGTTCTGTTTCAAGAACAAAACAATCACGATTTAGTTTAGGTGATCGACGACAGTTATTTACCATTGAACGAACACAAATAGAAAATAAAAAAAAGCGTAAATTATGTCCGTCATGTTCGCCTCGTACTCTGATAGCACTGGCCATCGTTATATCATTAGTCCTTATCGCTATTGCAATAATACCGGCTACGGTAATCACACTCACGAAAACGATGACTACAACAATAGGTAAGAGTTGTTTTTCTACAACCATTTCTACATGTATCTTGTAATTTTAATGTTCGTTTTAAATCAATCAGCCACGACTTCATCAAATAATATGACAACTACAACAGCCACTAGTGAGTGAACTTTTGATATATATAATCATTAAGAGTACTAGCATTAGGATCAGGTTTAAACGAAATTTATCTTAATTTCAATTCGTATTTCATAAAAATTAATACACAAGTTTCTTTCTATAGCATCGACGAGTTCAACAAGTTCCAGCAGTAGTACAAGTAAGTTAAATTCATGTTATGAGAATCATATATAGAAATTTATTTGCATGTCAAGCTACAACAAGCAGTACAACAGCGATCAGTATGTAGTTTTGAAAATAAAAGAAACTAAAAGTTGATGTAACTTTTCTATTAGCCATTACGTCCAATATTTGTACAGCAGCGTTGGCTAATATTGCAATGGTGGCTAATTGTTATCCTTGTCCTGCTTATAGATATCATCAATATATTTACAATTATACGGCTGTTGCGAACGCAACTCGTATTGTATTTGCTTTTCGTAGACAAACTGCTTATTTTACTTTGGATGATGTTTCTGTACGAGATTATGCAGCACCAAGTACTGAATTACTTGGTAATCCAGGTTTTGAAACAGGTAATTTGTCATCTTGGATATACTGTAATCAAAATAATGAAACAATTACTGATGGCGTTCAATCCAATTACACCTCTGGCAATTTTACTTATTTTCCTAATTCAGGTATCTATTACTATATGGGTGGAAGCCTTACAGCTTCTGATTATATTAGTCAAGCATTTTCGACTCAGATTGTTGATCTATATAAAATTACGCTGTGGTCTCGGTATCCTGGTACTGGAAATTTAACAAGTGCTGACTTTTTCCTTGGCGTCTGAATGACTTGATCATATTTCTTTTATTGTTTTTTTTATTTAACTTACGAAATATTTACCTGAATAAATATAAATTCATTCAATATTATGAAGACGGGTTTGACGCATACACTCCGATTCTTTCTCTAGACAACATCAAAAGCAAATATGCATCTTTGCTGTTGCTTATAAGATAATATCATGTGATGATAACAAAGAAATATAAAAAAAAGAAGAGAATATAAAATGTTTGACGATAAATGATAACATTCTCGTAAAATCAGTATATTGACTGTATTATTTAGATGACTCAATTCTGCTTACTATTTTATATTTTAATAATTATTATTATAAACAATTCAACTGCTGATACTAGTCTTCGAACACAACTAGGAGTGATTTATGGTCGACAAACTCAATATTCAACTGAATATTTAGGGTAAAAGAAAATTGAGCGATTAGAAACAATACATATTTTTGTATAGAATACAATATGCAAAAGTTATTCGATGGAAACCACCGATTGATCTTGCATCAGAAATATTTCCCAATGGTTCATTTCAAGCAACATCATTTGGTCCATGCTGTCCACAACCAAAAACAAGTGCATACATTCCAAAACAAGATGAACAATGTCTATCTTTAAATATTTATAAACCAATAATACCATCAAATCATTCATTATTACCAGTACTTGTTTGGATTCATGGTGGTGGTCATAATCATGGATGTTCATCGCAAAGTATTCCATTAATATATAATGGTACAAATATGATTGCTCATTCACCACAAGATCAACCAGTTATTATTATTACAATTAATTATCGATTAGGAGTATTAGCAGATATGTATTTAAAAGAATTAATTGAAGAAGATTCAGAATGGCCAACAGCAGGTAATTATATGTATTTAGATATGTTATCTGCATTGCGTTGGATAAAGAAAAATATCGTGGATTATGGTGGTAATGCAAGTCATGTTTCATTATTCGGTCAAAGTGCTGGAGCACTTTCAGTTATTGATCTTGGTGCAGTAAAAGATTCAGTTGATCTTTATCAAACGGCTATAAGTCAATCAGGTTTAGGTTCTCCTGGAACTTATTCATCTTATTATAATATGAATAATGCTCTTAATTATTCGAATTCTATTGTTCAACGATTACATTGTACTAATGATGATAAACAAAAAACTCTTTCATGTTTACGTAATACTTCATTTAAAGATCTATTGAAAGCCTATGATAATCGATATACAAAACCAATAATTGACAATTATTTTTTTCCATTATATCCTCCATTAGCAATTCAAAATGGTACATATAATAATGTCAGTCTTATTATGGGTAATAATGATTATGAACAACCAATTTGTCATCAACATCCTTTTATGAATTTTAAAGAAGCTATTGCATTATTATCTCAATCTATAGAACAAAAATGGTTACAAATAATTGTAGATTATTATCATTTAAATAATTGTTCATCAGAACGAAATGCTAATATAACTCGTTGTTGTAATATTGTTCGTTTAATATTAATGGATAAAATTTATGATTGTGATATTCGTCGAATATTCAATGCTTTTTATCGAACATATGATCGACAAGATGAAAAAAAGAAATTATTTTCTTATCATTTAAATTGTTATCCACGATGTCCTTCAGTTACAGACGAAGGTATTTGTAGACATTCATCAGAACTTCCATTTGTATTCGGAACGGTCAGTGATGCTGATTCACATAGAGAAATTCATTGTAAATGGAACAATCAATCAAGAATATTTTCTAATGGAATTATTTCACATTGGATTAATATAGCTACGACCGGAATACCATTAAATCAATGGCCGATATATGATCCATCTATGCCACAATATTTTTATTTCACACCTGATCATAACTTCTCACCTGTAACATGGAATAGAAATTGCTCGCTTTTTGATGAAATGGAAACAAAAGGTGTTTTAGAAACTTTTGGAAATAATGCTTAAGAATAATTTCTATTTTTTAAGGGTGTGGGTGTCTACTTCTATTCACTCCCACGCCTAAACATTTGTAAGAAATTATAATCGAACTTTTGATTTTATTGGAGTTTTGCTTACGAGGAACACTATTTGGGTGGAACACTCCGATTTCATTCATTCATATGGCATTTGATAGACCATAGTGAGGTAGTCAAAACCTAAAAACATTAGCGGGCATCAGTTCATTCACGAGGCGTTATAGTCATTTTATTGAAATTTTAGCCTATGACATAGTATCCATCAAAAACTATAATGACGATATTTCGACTTGACATCTCGTCTACAGGTAGGCCTACTTATAACTAGAATGTCCTAAAAAGCTCAGGTCAAAAGATTATTTCCTCCATGAGATATTAAATTCTCAAAAAAACATGACGTCCTCGAATCTTTTCGTAAAATATGAGTGATTTTGAAAATTCAATATCTGATGGAGGAAATAATCTTTTGACCTGAGCTTTTTAGGACATTCTAGTTATAAGTAGGCCTACCTGTAGACGAGATGTCAAGTCGAAATATCGTCATTATAGTTTTTGATGGATACTATGTCATAGGCTAAAATTTCAGTAAAATGACTATAACGGCTCGTGAATGAACTGATGCCCGCTAACGTTTTTAGGTATTGACTACCTCACTATGATCTATCAAATGCCATATGAATGAATGAAATTGGAGTGTTACACCCACATAGTGTTCCTCGTTAGATATTTGTTAACAGTGAATAGATGAAGTATTTGGATAACTAAATGTTATTGAAGGACATAGAATGGCTGTTTCGTTGGTACTGTGTGTAATACTTCCAGTAGCGCCGTTTTCATAATAGATAGTAACATTTTTAATATTATCAGCTGTAAACGTAGCATTTGACTTCATATATGCTATGATATTTCCACCATTACTAAGCGTTAACTTTGCTGTTGATTCGAGATACACTAACATATCTTGACAATTTGAAATTTGAACGATTCCACCTGATTGAACGAAGATCAGAATATTTTGAGCATTGCTGATTGTTAAGTCAACATTCGACTCGAGATAAACTGTAATATTACCCATATTCGAAGCACTGTTCGTTATATTTTTTTTTAAATATAATGCCGTGTTGTTGTTAGGAATGTTGACTGAACTAGCATTGATGCAATTCCATGTATTAGTAACGAAGGGAAGGCTTACGATATATGATGAACTTGTGCCTAAGTAAAGAAAAATTTTATTGCGGAAATATTAATCTAAGACTAAACTTACTCGTCAAACTATTGGCGTTCTGTGTAGTGGAAGTTACTGTCGATGTTATATTAATATTGGGTATTGAAAAAAAGTAAACTGAACTTTCTAAATTATTTACTAATGAGAATGAATTGATGGTGAGATTTTCGGAAAATAATTCACATGTATAATTATTGTAAAAACAATTGAAAGAAGATATTTGTGTTCTATTCAATAACATTGCACAGAGACATGTTTCACAAGTACCAATCATTGTAGTAGAACTATAGTTTAATACTCGTAAAGAAGAATTATGAATTATTGGAATATTATATATAGTGCTTGAATTTGTTTTGATTGAACAAAAAAGAAACAGATAGATGAATATATGCCACATAGTATAAAGTTATAATGATGCGAAGAAGTAGGTCTTGTTGAACTATTGTTTTCTTTCCGCAAAAATAAATTGTTAGAAAAAGTTTGTTTGTTAAAGAAGAAAGTAAAATAATAGAATTTATAATAACTGTTCGATCGTTTGTTGTTTTAAAATTAATATACTATAAAATTGATTTATTTTTATAATTTTTTTGTAAAGAGAATAGAATATAGATTTCTCTTGTTCAAATACTTAAAGAAAAAGTACACTGACACTATACTGATTAAATCATGTCAAACATAACAAAAGTAGTTATTATTTATTTATAGCCAAAATATATTCAACGAAGTCGTTTGAAATGAATATGCAAATCTATCCTTGAAATATCTGAAGAATAATATTCAGAAATATTTTATTTTACTCGACATTTCAAAAGTTGAGTGACCTTTACACTAAAAAGTTTCATGATTCATATAATCATCAGAAATACATAGGATAGTCAAAAAGTTCTGTCACTTTCAAATATTTATTCACAGAAAAAACATTTTGCTGATCTTTTTACAGTAAATGTTCGAAGTAGTCCCCATGATGTTCTATAGGAAGTTTCATCCTTTCAATCCATTTCTCGAATGTCTTTTGGTATTCGTGAACAGGTATTGAACGAAGCTCCCTGGATAACATTTTAGCTAAACTTGTTACATCTGGGTATGTATCAAGACCACGTTTCAGATAATTGAACAACCAAAAATCTGAAGGTGCAAGGTCAGGTGAATATGGTGGATGAGCCATAACTTTGATTTTTTCTCCTCGAAGATAATTAAAATTAAGAACCATATTTTCCATATGTACTGCCGTATTTTTTTAATGCAAACTTATGCTACTTTCTGTTGATAATGATTTTTTCTTATGTAATTTTTTTACTGATATCTTCGAGTATCCATTACAATCAGTGATGTAATAACTGTGTCTAGGATGGTAGCTATATAATCAATAATAATATTTGGATCATCATTCATTAGATCTTTAACACCATCAATATTTTGTTGAGCGATGGCGGATAACGAACGACCACTCCGAGGATTATCTTCTAAGGACTCTCGCTCATTTGGATATCGTTGAATCCTCCGACTAACTGTATTATATGAAACTACATCTGGTCCATAAACAGCAGTTAATTCATTATGAATTTCTGTAGCTGTTAAGCCTAATAATAAACGAGTTTTTATACATGATCGTAAACACAGCTTATCCATACATAAATAGAGGTATTCAATACATTCGTTAAAATTTTGCCATAATAAACACTTGCGAAACTTCGTATTGGTATTTTAATACATAACACATGTCACTATTAGAACAGACCAATATGAGGAATAAAACCAATTAGGACGAAATTTTAGAGAGCTGTTGCCAAAATTTTTTGACTACCCTATGTAAAGCAAATTATCATTAATCATAAGACGTAAATACAGCCAAATTAATGAAGAATGAGGTGAATAACATCTTCCTTCAAATTTAATTTTATATAATAATGGTTCTGTATGATGGAATGGCATTGTTAAACCGGGTAATTTAACAAAAATTTCGGATGGACCTTGACTCGTAAAACTGATTGGAAGTTGCTGTTTGATATAATATCTTTCAGATCGAACAAAATTATTAGTCATTCGATTTGAAGGAATTTGAATTGTATTCATTGGTAAATTTGGATCTGCATTACATTTTAAAATTAAAAACATACATAGAAAGTAACAGTACATTCCAACTGTATTCTTCATTGTAGTCATTTTTATTATCGACGAATATCCATATCCCCACCTATTTATACATTCGTAATTTATATTTATTGTTGGATGAAATCCTTATCGTGAAGCATAATAAACACTAAAAAAAGTAAAGCAACACTTTCCCATGCTTTATTTTCTAGAATATTCTCACTCGAGATTTAATAAGATTATCTTAAGAATGTTGGATATAAATGATAACGTTAAAAAATAATCAAATTTATGATAAATTTATTGACAAAACAAAAACATTTTATTTGTCTGTAATAAGAAATAAACTATAATACAACATCTTAATATAAAGATGTGATAAGAAATTTGATTATAAGCCATTAATTATTTATTCAAAATAAATCTCAAACATAGTCAAAAATCAAGAGCAAATAAACTGATTTCGAGTGAAGCTATGGAGAAGTCACAGGTACTATATTCACCTTACTTACATCTTTTGACATCACCTAATAAAAATCAAAAATTTGAATCTTTTTTTTCATTCTCCGTTCCTGAGAATGAGAAATGCTGACACTCGTATTTCTTGCTAACTTGATGATACATGAACTGTATATAGTTTCATACATAACTATCTATTGTCAAACATTACTATCACATTTTATAAACTCTTATATAACTGATCATTCGAAATAATTGTATTAATATTATCAACTCGAAACTACATGTGTATTAAATCACCTATTCATTATGTGCAAAAAAAATCTTTATATGTCTATAGACCGAGTGTCTATTTATCTGATAATACAGGAATTAAGATTGACTGTTCTGCTAATGGATTCATCTGCACTAAATACACAGTTCATCGCTTATCCATCAATACACCTCCTCATTCTTCTCGAATTATAGATATCGCTATGCCAACTCATAACTCAATAGTTAATAATTCAGCTTCTACTTTGATCACATTCGATTTAAACTGATGATAAAGAGGGATTTGTTCGTTACATTCGTCCACCCTCACGCCCTTACTTAGACTTGAATTCAATAAATTACCTAGAGAAATTAAAAATTTTTACTTAGTTTTCATTTAAAACTACTCAGCGCTTAAATAGATGGTTATTATTTATATCCGTTCGATTACTTCTATAGTCAGTATGAATATCGCAAAAGCTTATTGATGCATATTAGGTTTGACTTATGTAATATGAATGATTCATATTAAAACGAGCGAGCTTTTTTATGATAGTTATCTTTCTGAAACAGTATATTTAATCATAAAAACATGTTACACTATCGCCCTCTTTTGAATACATATTGAAATAAAATCTATCGTAGTTGGTTACTAAGTAATGACGCTACGTCGCATAATAAACTTTGCGCTCCGTCCGATGTTCGTTCTGCACATATGGATGACTAATCAAATACTCACCTTCCTTTTGTACGATACTTAGCATAAGTTTCCTTATTCGATAATGTATGACGTCATATTTAAATATTCGTTATGAAATTAGAACGCAAAAAAGAAAGAATGTATCTGAAAAGCAGTGTATAAATACTCGAGCACTTCTTTCAATTAATAGTAACATATTTATATTGTTAAGGTAAGTCTTTACTGATCAATTTGCGATAAGAACCTATTTTACATAATTTTTATTCTATATAGTTATCAATCGCACTGATCACGATAAACTATATTGAATAATGACAAACAAGGATGAACAAGTACAACTAGCGAAATTAGCTGAACAAGCTGAACGGTACAGTATTTGTTTTCATAGTAAATATAGTTGATCTAGGAATGTAAATATTGATTTAGATATCCTGATATGGTAGTTGCTATGAAAAAGGTTGTTGAATTGAATGATGAATTGACGACTGAAGAACGCAATTTGCTCTCAATTGCCTACAAATATGCAGTTGGCGCTTGTCGATTACCTTGGCGAACTATATCTAGCATTGAACAGAAGGGCGGTGGTACCGAACATCAACGAGAAATGGCTAAGAAATATCGAGAAAAGATTGAAAATGAACTGAAAGATATATGTCAAGAGCTTTTTGTAGGATTTATTCAATTAGGAATCATTTTAGAAATAAAAATTTATCAATTTAGATGTTACTTGATAAATATCTCATTCCAAAAGCTACAACTGCTGAATCGAAGATAGTCTATTTGAAGATGAAAGGTGATTATTATCGATATTTAGCTGAAGCTACTACTGGCAGTGAACAACAAAGTAATATAGAAAATATTCTACTCGAACATAAATATATACATTGATATTAATTCTAGAATTTGCTGGAGAATCGGAAATTGCCTATAAGGATGCTTTTGATATGGCTAAAAATCAAATGCCAGTAACACATCCAATTCGACTTGGTCTTGTTCTAAATTTTTCCGTTTTTTATTATGAAATTCTCAATGATACAGATACTGCTTGTCGTATGGCTAAACAGGTTTGCTCGATTTGATCTATTTTATTTCTTTACACATTTGAATGCTTACATCATAGGCCTTCGACGATGCTTTAGCCGAATTAGATTCCATTGGTGAAGATTCTTATAGAGGTAAGAGGAAAAATAATAGTAAGATCAATATTTTTTCGATTCGTTTTTAGACAGTACTATAATTATGCAATTACTTCGAGATAATCTCACTGTAAGTATTAATGTGATAAAATATTTTTAAGATAGAATCTCTTTTTTCTGTATAGGTATGGACTAATAATCCATCTGATGTCAACGATGTGAATCAATCGGAAGAACAATAATAGCTGTAAACTTCAAATGTTTTTGTCTGTGATATTTTTTCTTTTTTTTCTGTATCACTTTTTCATTAATATTATCATAAACTAGATAAAAGCAGTGGGTTTTTGAAAAAATTTCTATTTCTTGTGAAAGTGTGAATGAAAATATGATAAGAATATTATAACGTTATCTCTACTCTTAAGATGGCAAAACCAACAGAATAATGTCAATATACCACCCACACTCATCAGTTAAGAACTATTTTATTTACATAATCATATAAGATGATTCATTTTGGAAAAAACCCGAGATGTTTATGATTCAATATTCTGAAAAGAAACGAAATAAACTTTGTTTTTCTTCCTTGCATTTGATAAGATTTATTATAATAAACATGACTGACACATTGGAGGTTGATAATACAAGGTATACATTTCGTTTTACTGATTCTAATCAATGTATTTGTCTCAATAAACAGCAACTTGATTGTATTCCTTATTTATCTGTTCTTGTGTCGCATAAAGATGATTTTTTATCAAATCAAAATGAAACTGATGAATATTTATTACATCCTCCAATACATTATACTTGGTTTATAGCTGTTCAACATTCAATTAGTTCCGAACAACCGTATACTTTATTTACTGAACTACCAGAACATGAAAATATATTAGGCGCAATACAACTAATTGATTATTTGGGTTGTACTTCATTCCCTTTACCTCTTTTGAAAGAAACAGATTTAATTTTCTCAAATTCTGCCACTGATGAAAAACTTGTCACATATCATCGTGCTAATTTAGTAGAAACAAGAAATACAACTGCTGAATTCGTCATTGCTCTCAGTAAAAACGCATATAATTTACATGATTATAAAACAGTGAACGAAATTATTTCTTTGATTAAGATTATTCTTACTAATCCCACTGTTTATAGTTCACGATTTCGTCATCACACATTAACGGTAGCGAAGGAATGTTGTTGGATGTATTTTTCTAAAGTACAACAGCTTCAACTCTATACCACTCATCAAAATATTCAAAAACAGAGAAAGTTAAACTCTTTAATGTATTTATATGATGATAATAATCCTCTTTCTGATGATTTCTCAAATGTATTTGTTTGGAAAGGTACTTCTATAGCGTTAAAAGTAAATAATATTCATCCAGTGAACGACGTCTGGATAATGCGTTCTACGGAAAACTATACAGCAAAACAGTGTATCCTAAGGGGGTTGCTCAGGGAATTATCGTCAGACCGTTTTACAACATCTTATCGCACAAATGACACACCAACGGAAATTAAGCTAGAAAAAACAGAAAAAGAAGGTTTCTTAGCTCGATCAAGACGCTTTAATGTCATCCCTCAACGACCAACTTATGATAAGTTCAACCATCGATTCTGTTCAAAAACTAAAAAATATCGATAAAAACTCTTTCAAATAAAAGTTGAGGATGTGCGTGTGAACATTGTCTTTGATTTTTTTTAAATAAACGCAGTTGTATATTGCCAACAGATGTAGAGACAAGAGTGAGTGCATGCCTGCCAATTCACAGCGATGGCATTTTTCTCTTGTAATTCTTTCAAAATATATCCAACTTGAATGTGAGGGTGAATGGAATAAGTATAGATGAACTCTCATCCTTACTCTCATACCCACACCCTCTCGTACAGTTCGAAAGAGAGAAGTAAGTGATCATCATATCCATGATGAACTAAACTAGATTTTATTTTATTAAAAATACTATGGTTATAAAACTGATGTGATGATTTCTGTATAATAATCAAGATATTTTATCCACATGCTTCTTGTTTAAATACTTGTGAACGTTCTTTATAAAAACTAGCTTGTTTCAAATATTGTTCAGCTTGTTGACGAAGATATGTTTCTATTTCTTTGAAAAGTCTTTGCAA